AAACTCTTCCGAATTATCAGAAAGTTCCGCGGTGTTCTTGGTCAGGAAGCAAAACAAATTATTGAACAAGGTTTACCTGATCAAGACGTCCACCACGCAAATTATGTAGGAAATAAGTCTCCTATTATGGACGTTCCTGCGGACGTGCTTTCTAAGCTTAACAGCGCTCTGCCAGGGTGGACCGATGGCCACAAGCGCCTTGCCAACGTCTCTAAAACTGTTTCTGTCATGCGAAAGATCTCAGACAATCCAGAGATGACAAGTCAGGTACCTCAAATTGTTGATGACTACGTCTCTAGCCTGAGCGACTCAATGGCGGAACTTCGCAAAGAGACACCGCCGTTTTTGACCGATGAGAACAAGGACCAAGTCAAGCATCTGAAGACAAGAAAGAGGAAACTGTTTGCAGATACCTTACGCGATCTTCGGCAAATGGGTTTCAAGCACAACCTAGGACAGGACAAGCTTGCGGAGCAGGCATCACTATCAGTTGTGCTGTCGTCAATACAGCCTGTGCAACTTCCTTCAGACAATTCTACTGAATCCATGGACTATCACTTGCACAAGATTCTCGATCTAATCCCCAAGGTCAGGGCTGCTTCTCGAGACCACTCTGAGGATCTTACCAGTGCCGAGGTTGCGAGAAGTGCTGGATTTGTTGAAGGAATGCTCAACCTTTTACTGACTCAGAGATATTCCATCACATCTGGTGCCTCCTCCTTATCCCTTCTCGAACAATCCATAAAACAATTCAGCCGCCTTGGACTTTCCCATGAGCATGGATTGCTCATCCGCAAGACAGCAGTCTCTGACTGGAAACGTCTTCTCCCTTGGCTTGTTCAGATTCTCCAGCATGCCATTCGTTTGATTGAAATCCATGGGAAGTTGGGGGAAACGAAGCACACGGCGGCGATAGAACAGCTGAAGTCGTGGCATGGGCGATTCGAATCTCTCCATGCTCTGAATGCTGGATTAGGCCAGCTTCCAGATGGTGTGTCTTCCGAAGCAGCTGCTCGTGCTGAGGCAAATTTGTCGAGTGAATTGGCTAGTTTCCGCGCCGACCTCGAAGAATTGAATAGCGAACAGCCGGAACTCTCCTTTATTCTACTCCAGATTGTTGGCTGGACCAAGATTACAAAAGAAGCCGAACCTAGCCTTACATCCGATGACATGGAAATCACCACTTTTGCAAATTCTCTCTCGACACTTTGCGACAAAATCCTGGTCGCAATTGAGAGCGTGAAGAAAGCTGCAAAGGGAACTGATTATAGAGAGGCCGAACCTGCTTGGCTCATCGGCCACGCTAACAGTTTCGTAAATCTCTTTACAAAGCTTCGTACTGCCGAGATTGAGAGGAGCGTGGCCAGCTGTATCAAGATGTTGAAACATATTCATCTCGAAGAACCGAATCTCAGCCAAGCGGCGATGAGTCTCATGACGATCGCATATCCTGTCCTGAATGAGTATGTTCATTTCGCTCAGCAGACCTTGATGCAGGTTGTCGACATCCACAGTGCCATAGCACATATGTCCTATAACATGACCAAGACGTTCACTCAAATTTCCTCTCAAGGGTTTTGTACACCACAAGAAAAATCTGATGAAACTTCTGGCGAATCTGGTAAAGTCGAGTCTGGAACTGGCCTTGGTGATGGTGAAGGGGCCGAAGACATCAGCAAGGACATCCAGCCTGATGAGGACTTGTCCGAGCTTGCCCAAGAAGCCAACAAGGAGGAGAATGGTGAAATGGAAGACGAAAAAGATGCGGTGGATATGGCTGATGAAGAGCTTGAAGGAGACATGGGCAGTGTCGATGGGGCCGATGATGATGATACGGGGTCGAAGAATGGAGACGAAGAGGAGGAGAACGATATGGATGAAGAAGCTGGAGAGGTCGATGACCTAGATCCCACTGCCGTTGACGAGAAGATGTGGGATGGAGAGGACGAAGAAAAGGCCGATAAAGACCAGCAGGGTGAGAAGGCCAAGGGCCAGAAGAAGGACGACGAGCAAATGGCAGCAGATGAAGATGCAAAGAAACAAGAGGGTGAGGAGCAGCCAGATGTTGACGACTCTGGTGAACAAGACGCAGAGGGAGAGGAAGCTGGTGCCGAAGAAGAAGAAGTCAAAACCCAGGAGGAAATGAACAAGCAAGATCAAACTACCCAAGAGAATGATACACTGGCGCTTCCTGAGGATATGGAGTTGGATCTCGATGACGATCATGAATCGGCGTCAGATAGCGATGACTTGGATGGTCTTTCAGATATCGAAGAAGAGAAGAAGGAGGGAGAGGACCAGGAGATGAATAACGAGGAGGAAGATGGATCAGATGACGCTGCGGCCCAAGCCCAGCTTCAAGAAGAGGCTGGAGAGGAGACCAAAATCCAGGAAGACGAAGAGATGCCAGAAGAAAAGGCCGGTGGCAAGGATGAAGTCGACGAGGAGGCCAAGCCTGAGGAAGAGGAAAAGGACAAGGATCAGGAGGATGCTACAGATCAGAATCAACCGCCTCAAGATAACGCTACAGCTGATACCGACAACGCTGCACCAAGCGATGTCAAGAGCTCTGGCCAGGATCAGAACGCTGATTCAATGGATGTCGACGATAACTTCCAAAGCAACGCTGCCCAGCAGGAGGATGGCGAGATGGGAGAGGGAGCTGCGGATCAGGACACAAGCGCAGGGAACAAGGGATCAACTTCGCAGTCAAAGGAGATTATGGACAGGGCCGAACAGGAACAGGAAAAGGCGGATTCGGCACGCAGTGATCCTTTCAAGAAGCTCGGCGATGCACTTGAACGCTGGCATCGACAGCAGGAAGACATCAAAGACGCTGAGTCTTCAGACACCAATGAACAAAACGCACCACAAGACCCGAGCGCCGATCAAGGCCGTAAGGAATTCCAGCACTTACAGGACGATGAGACTGCTACAGACACTCAGGCCATGGGAACTGCGGATGATGAGCAAGTACAGCCCATCGACGAGTCCATGGCTATCGATGAGGAGAGGCAAGATCCTACAAGCCGCCTTATGGACGATGATAAAGAAGAGACCGAGGAAGATCCCGATAAGATGGACACGGCTGACCCAGGAGAGGTGCCGGATGCCAGTAAGCAAGATGCAGATAATGATCAGGACGAAACCCGCTCAGGGGTCAAGACACGCCAAGGCAACTATGACCGTGAGTTCAGTCCTTCAGATCAGGAGGCGCAATTGGATGAACAAGAAGATGAGGTCGAGATTCAGGAGACATCGACTCAGCTCTCTTCAACTCACATCTCGGATGAAGAAAGGCCACTCCGAGATTTCGGCGAGTCGATGCAACAGTGGACTGAATTCCAGACCAAAACACATTCACTCTCTCTGGCTTTGACATCCCAACTCCGGCTTATCCTTACACCTTCACAATCGACCAAACTCTCGGGAGCTTTCCGTACCGGAAAACGACTCAACATCAAACGCATCATCCCTTACATTGCGTCGAGCTATAAGCGGGACAAGATCTGGATGCGACGCAGCATCCCGACCAAACGCACCTACCAGATACTGCTTTGTGTGGATGATAGTAAGAGTATGGGTGAAACATCATCAGGTACTCTGGCCATGGAGTCTCTCGTCATGGTATCACGATCTCTTACCATGCTGGAAGCTGGCCAGGTTGGTGTCATGGGCTTTGGAAGTGACGTTTTCACAGCCCATGGCTTAACCGAGCCTTTTGCTGCAGATGCTGGAGCCAAGGTATTGCAGAAGTTTAACTTTTCTCAAGATCGTACCGATATTGCACTTCTCATCCAACGGACCATTGAAACGTTCAGACTTGCACGGCAACAGGGCAGCAGCAACTCGGATCTCTGGCAACTGGCACTGATTCTCTCTGACGGCCTTACGCCTTCATCAGCCCACGAGGGCATCCGGCGAATGCTGCGGGAAGCGATGGAGGAACGCATCATGATTGTGTTTATCATCATGGATGATACGGGCAAGAAGAAGGGCGACAGCGTACTTGAGCTGAAGGAGGCCAAGTTTGTTCGGGACGGCGGAGAAAGCAAAGTCGTCATCGAAAGATACTTGGACACGTTCCCATTCCAGTACTACCTGATCGTCCATCATCTTGAAGAGCTACCAAGCGCCCTGGCTGGTCTCTTGCGAACATGGTTTGCTGAAGTCAACGCCTAGGAGAAAGACGGTTTTTCTGAATAGGTAGTTAGGTTGGGGGAAAGGCGTTGGTAGGCGATAGATGGTTGCATATACTGGCGTTCGGGGAGTACATAATCTGATGCAGCAGTAATAATTCTTTTTAGAACAGGGGCAAGCATTGATTGTTTAGACTAGGCTGTGGACAAAATTACTTCACTTTAGAGATGTTTAGTACCTAGCTTGATTCGATTATTCAGACAAGTCATTTATTGCCGGGCACCAAATTGTGAATGCAATGGATATGATAAGAGACAATTGACATTATCGTCAGTGACTCTCCATGGTATTTGAGGTCTGAGGTCATTGTCTTAGGGCGGGTGCAGCGGGTCAAACTGCGAACCTATCCTATGAACGACAGCCCGTCGATCACCCCCACTTTCCACTGCCGTTCCCCCGCGCTGCGGCTAACTTTCTATCCCGTCAGGTCCCTCACCTCAGTCACCCTCTTCGAACTCAACCACCTCCAAATGTCTCAGATCCCGGTTTTATTATTTTATTTTTCTTGGAATTGAGATCTTAACCACCATAGACTGGAACTGACTTAATCTGTACGTTCCTCTATGCCATTCATTCTCTTGGTTTGATGAGTCCTCCCTCGATCTTAGCCTTACGATCTCGGTATGCAAGTTCTCTCGACTGTCATTTCTCGACGTGGGTTATCTCGGTTGGCTATAGGTTCGCGGGTTGCGACAACAAGTATCGGTAATTCAGCAACATCGAGATTGGCTAGTACATCTCTAGAAGGCACTGCCGTATCTCGTCCTACTCCTGGCTCTTCGTTACACCAGATTCGCGCCATGTCTTCACCTGCGCAAACCGAGCTGCGGTTCAGTAAGTGTCCATCTTACCTATTGCTAAGATCTGATAGAGATGCTGACTTGTGGCGGTCAGAGAACCCAAGGATCTTGTATGTATGTCATTACTTTCGATCTGACAGAAACGCCTAATCAAGACTGGTGTGGTATAGCGTTTGCGATATTCAAGAAAAGTTCCGCCATGTCATTCACGAATTCGATAGCATGTATGGCAGCCCCCGGTTCATTTGACGCCACTCAGCTAATCAACCCCAGCGTCCTCACCACTCAAAAGCTCCTCAAGTTCGCAAACACTCTCTCCGTTCCCGTTGTAACCACGACCCAAACCTCAGCAAAGCTTGGTCCCACAGTTTCAGCTCTGGCACAGCTCCTCCCCTCGTCACCACACGACAAGACACGCTTCTCCATGTCCATTCCCTCCATCACCGTCGATCTACCTCAGGGCTCAGAAATCGCTCTTGTCGGCATTGAGTCTCATATCTGCATTACCCAGACAGCCCTCGATTTGCGCGACGCAGGGCATAAGGTATATGTCATTGCTGATGGTGTATCGAGCTGTAATCCTCGCGAAGTCGACATTGCCCTTGATCGATTGCGTGCCGAGCCCGGAATCACGGTCACGTCGAGCGAGAGCTGGATGTACGAATGCGTGGGAGATTCGCAACATCCTGCTTTCAAGGGACTGATTAGTGTTGTCAAGGAGTCAATTGCAGACACCAGAAAGGTTTGGCAAGCCTTGCCTCCTGGATCTAAGATCTAGTCGTAGTGACATACTTATTTAATGATAGATTAGACATACATTTGCATAGTACAAACATCATTGCTGTCAATTTCTCTTCTTTCTTTTCTAGCAAAGCATCAAACCGCCTTTGCCTCTATTGTTCTCTGTTTTGTTTTGTTGGTTTGTTACATCAAGTCGCAATCGTCTTATCAATCATAGCTATCTTGAGAACCCGAATGACAGGGTCATTGCGATTCGGCATTTCTTTGAGTCCGCCCATTTATGGTCTCCACAGACTAGAGAATGAACTTCAGGGGACCTGAAAGTCTACACGGCTGATAAAGAAAGGAATGGCTACTGGCAAGCCATTCAAACACATTACTCTGAGCCCGCGGTCGTTTTGGCTTTGGATGTTGGTGTCATCCATGAGAACGCTGACGCCACTCCGACGGGGTTGGCAGACCTAGGCAGGGAATTGTTGCTATTGGCGCTGGCGTTGGCGCTGCGACCATCACGACTTGGAGGTGGAAGCGACTGTGACTGCGATTGCGCTTTGTGTTCGCTGCTCATACTCACCGCACGCTTAGCCTCCCATCTATTGGCAGGAGTACCACCGTTCTCCCCAACGCTGACTTGACTCTTGCGTCGACCATCTCCCGGACCTTTGGACGAAGAGGCATCATAAGAAGAAACTGTCCTCGAGGCCGACTTCTGGGGCTTCAGAACTTTCATGTTGCGGCCTCGACCGGCAGGTTGATATCCACTCAGTGAACCATCTCTATGCGGGCCGTCCACTCCATTCCCTGATCCATGGCGCCATGAGCCCCAAATCCCTGAAAGGGGTTCACGCCTGGAGCCCTCGGGGGTAGACTGCTCAGCAGTACGCTCCTTAGGACCTAGTTGGTCTCCGTTGATGAGTCTACGAGACCTTCTCTCACTCTCCCCACCGGATACACTGCCTCTGGAGCTGGGTCGCTTATTGAGAACCGCGTCAGTTGCCATCGGCGACATTTCGCTTCGAGACTCATAGTCCTGCTGAGGAGCCTCCGTGTCAGGGATACTTTCCTGGCTAGCCTGGCTGAAATCCCCAGAGACGAAGGGAGGAGCATTTGCATTCAACTTGGGCTTTTCTGGGACCATATTGGTTGTGCAGATATTCCGAAACACGTTTTCATCCTCTGGTCGGACAAATGGGACCTGAAGCCGCTCTCGCTCGTCGCCACGAAGTGTCATAGTATTCTGGGAAAATAGAATATCTGCGGAATGGGCTCTGAGAGCATCGCTGCCCAAGTAGATTCGAATGGCTTTGCGATCTACAGCCTGGATAGGCTGCTCTGCCACTCCAAGGACCTCGAAAAAGACAGTGATCGAAGGAACAGGCCCATGAGGACTACTAGAGCGACTGCCATGATGTGTTACCACAGCCTCTGCAAAGTAGACATTCAACCTAACGCGATATGCACCGTCAACCTCGCGATGGATCTGATCTACAAGGTCCAACTCTCTGAGGAGAGAGTACTCAACGGTGGACTTTTGCGAGCCACTGCAAACGTCGGCGTAGAGGAGTGTTGAGTGGCCAAAGTTAGGGGTTAACCAACATCGAACGATCGAAGGGACTGTCCCGAGTACATAAAACGCCGCAGGGGGGCCAGGAATGTCGAACGAATCGTCGTCGTCGTCGCCAACAGCAAAGTTGTTATCAAGGCCTAAGCTGCTAGCCCGACCAGAAGCAACGGAGTGGTGAGAGTGAACTGAATGTCCCGCAGAGCTGTGTCGCCCATCCGACTTGTGAGATAATGAGCGCTCCATCATAAGGCCACTTCCAGGACGAACAGGGCCAAAATCTCCCGAGTGACGATTACTTGGGCCTCCCCAACTGGATCCGTGCAGGGCGCTTTCGTCGAATCGAACACTATTAGCCCGCGAAGCAGCGCCTCGGCGAACCGGTTCTTCCTCTGCTGGTCCAAGATGAAGAGATCCTAGAAGCTCCTCACCTTGCTCATCCAAGTCATCAAACATGTCATTGTGTGGAATGGAAACAGGTCCTAAAATTTGTTAGGGAATGATCAATAAGTCAACAGGCTGAGAACTCACCTGTTTGAGGTGTGCCACTTAAGACACCTGGAAAGGGAGAGTTCCAGACAGACTTCAATGCGGCATCATCTGCCTGTTTCTTTTCCAATCGAAGAAGCCGTTCAGCATGATTGCTCTGAGTATATTGCACTTGCTTCACTTCCATCTGCAGACTGTACAGATCTTCGCGAGAGACTGGAAATCTGGGATCCATCCCCAGGTCAGGTCTGATTAGACAACAAGGCTCCAATTCTAGGTGTAGAGAACGCCGATTGACTGCAGACCGAGGGCTGGTGGCTCGACTAAAGGAAAGGAAGAGAGAATTCGAGAGACGGGGGGGATTTGGAGGCGCTCGTAGAGAAGGGCGGAACGTCTAGACAATGGCTTCAATCGTACAGCATGAGCTTTGATCCAGCACAACTTTTTCGACAATAAAAACAATTGGTCCTTCCGACCTCGATCCCCAGTTAAGATTTAGTTCACGAGGTCCTCCCTCCCCGCCGCATCGCCTAGTGTAGACCAAAGGGCCCTCGACAAGCAGAGTGCGATCTCGGGAATCGCCTGGTCGTCGTGGGTAGTGGCCTCAAATAGAGCGGCTGGTAAGTAGCCTGGCGTATAATTGGTATTTGAAGATCGATTGGAAGGGTGCCAGGTCGAGAGTGCGACTTGGAATCGTGATAGGTGTGGACGTGATGATCGGCAAGGCGTGCTCGTGAATGTTGCGAGGCAACCTACTGATGGAAGAAACTATCGTATCTGAAGAGGGCTAAGGATATAGGCGTCACAGCTGAGGGGTTATAGAAAGTAGATATTGAGCAGGTTTGACGTAGGCCGGTCCTGATACGAACGATAGGGGTTGGAGTTGGATGTAAATCAATGGTGCAAAGCGGACAAGAAGTTCAAAGCAGTTGGGATCGTGGCTGGCTTCTGCGGAGGGGTTACGGTCGATTTCGGGTGTTCGTAAGTTGGAGGGGAATCTTGGAGGCGTGTTCGAGGTCGTAGAGGTACGTCAGGAGTTGGAATCAGGGTAATCATCAAAGAGTGAAGTCCGGAATGATGTTCAGATGGCACAGGTGTGGATTGAATTTAATAAACAGACGGGAGCAACTTGAGGCCTGAGTACGTAGGTACCTTCGGTTGGCGTAGGCTGGCGCGCTAACGTGGCGGTTCTTCTAGCGCCTGTGGCGTGTTGAAGTAACCCACTGTAAGCATTAAACGTCAGGGGAGGCTAGCCACTAAAGGGAATATGATTGAAGGTTCCAGTGCCTCGAACTGTCGTCCCATGCAATCCATACTACCTAGTAGGTACCCTCCATTGGCTTCATCAGGGAGTGACAGCTGGAGAACTTCTGGTCCTGAACCAAGATGCCAAAAATATTAGTAACTTACATACTTGCCCAGAGGCTTATCGACATAGTTAGATTATACAACAAGTAGGACCCTTCGTCATTTATGATAAGAGATCTCGAATTTTCTGGCATCCCCTAGATTTAGTTCCTTGCAACTACTCCGTAGGTATTCATCAGAGGTAGGCAGATGAGGCACCTTAGGTTATGCCCATTCGAATTACACAGCATGTACCAATTTGTTGAATGACCACAGTCAGGATTCTCACATTTCACACAAGTGTCCTCTGGAATGCAGCACACATGTGCATGTCCCGTTTCCTGGGACAGAGGGGTTAGAGGGGCTAGGGGTTACATTTCTTTGTACCTTAAGTAAGGTGGTGGGGTGAAATTGTCTTGGCATCCCTCAAGCCACGCTCACACCTGAGTCAAAGACACAAGAAACTCTGCACAGCGCGTATATTTTGGCATCTTATTCTCAATCAGTGCCTCCAATATCGAATGCCGTAATCTGCATCCCACCTAATCGCCAGTGTTCAGATTGGGCTTAAGCTCCAGCAGTTCTCGCCAATCTGGGATCACAAATCCCTTGCGATCATCGTCCGCGAGGCCGTGCCACTCCTTACCAATAAATGGCTTAAGGCTCTCATAGAATACCCGATAACCAGATCCGCTCATATGGAGCCCGTCGTGAAGTAGAGTATCCAGACCACCCTGCTTACCGTTCTCGGGGTCGCCTAGCCATGGTCCACCAGGGGTGTAATCGTCAGGAGTAAGGGAGATGGCCTTGTCCATCTGGGCCTTCCAGAGGTCAACCAGAATAACCCCAGGGTTTTCTCGCGCTACCTCGCGAGCCACCTCGGAGTAGGCAGCGCTAATAGCAGACTTGCGAACTGCTCCTTGGTGGCCATTCTCGATGGATCGAGGGGTCGTCTTGATCTCATCCAGGGGAGGAGGCGTCACCAGCAGAATCTGGGGCTTGTGGGCAGCGATGCGTGGGTGGTTGATGATTTTGGTGAGGTTTTCCTTATACCGATCTATAGGAACATGCTGCTTGGTGATAGCACCAGGAAGCACAGCATCGTTTGCGCCAAACAGGAGAACCTAATCATTTTTAGCTACACAGTCTTCGCTCCATATGGCGGTACCGTACTAGATAGTCCATCTTAGGGGATGAGGCTGTACGCTCCAGGAAGATTTCAGGAAGGTATCTCAGAGCGATGTCGGTGTTGAAGCCCGAGTATCCCCGGTTCACGATATCCAGACGCCGAATGAAATCTGCAGCAAGTCAGGCCGTTTCCTATGCGGTCACTTATGTTGGATTCTCACCGGACTGGAGAGCAGCTTGAAAAGAGAAACCGTCTTGTATATCTGAGCATTGTTGGAACAGAGAATCTCCGAAGAGAACGACCTGAGGAACTGTCGACTGTGACGTGTGAGCTTTCTCTTTTTGGCATTGACTATAAGTTGAGCGTTGCTTACAGCCATGTTGGGACGTGGTAAAGGTGTTTTGACTTCGTTGAGGCTCTCGTCGTCACGGAAAACGACAGGTTTAAGCTCTATCGGATGGGGAGACTTTGCGACCCTAACAGCCTCAATTGTGCGGTTAAATAGATTGGCAAGTCACCAGAAACCTGCGGCTTAAATGTTCGTTTCTAACTAACGGGTATTGTCCCACCTGTTTCTCATTGCTCCTCTGCGCATTGTGGGGGTTCCGAGCCAATAACATAGTATCTTTTTAAGTCGAACAATTCACATTGGACTGAGACATGCGTTATCTTTCCTTTCTATCTACATATGAACAAGATTCGGAAGTCTCAGCGAGCTGAATAGGTATCTTTTAGAGCATTATTTACCTAGGGTGTTTATCATTTCTTGAACAGGAAAATGTTCACTTACTACCAACTTCAAGTCTTACCGAGTTGTGTCCCATAAGCGGCGTACTCGACAACTATTACAAGACAATCCAACGAGATGCTGTAAAGACTCAATCAGAACCATTTGGCGACTTTTTATGCCCTCGGTAATTGTAGGTATCTACGGTACGCATATAGAATCTGATATCATGTCAAGGGGAAGCAGAAGCACTTAGGACTTCTTATCTAAGTAATGAAAATATTTGGATAAGTTCAGGATAACCAACCTAGTGCGTGTATAGACCAGTTTATTTTGGCACCGCGATTTATTAATCTCGGGACTTTCTCTCTTCCTGAGACACATAGGAGAGGAGCCCACTGTTGATACTGACCCCGATTGTCGAGTCAATGTTCTTCTGGGGAGTCGATAACAGCCAGTTGGATGACAGGGACCAGAAGGTTATGGCTCCAACTTTAGGACAGGGAGCTATAGGACCAACTCCGCCGAGAGATAATATATAGGTCTTCCCAAGAAAATAGTGATGATGACAATAATCGTGTGCAATTCATATCTCGCATATGTACCTTGCGCAGCGAAGGTCCAGATAGGAATATTCCTCTATTGTCTTCACGTCCCGAAATTTGTACCAAGGTACTAAGGTAGTTAGTAAGGCTACCTGGTAGTAAGGTAAGGTGTCTGGGTGCCTATGTGGGGTGCCTGTGGAGACCATACGTTTCTTATCGATAACAAAGTTCTTTTTGTAGTCGCCAAAATATTTTCAAACCTACTACACTCTAATGCTGCCAGTGACCATCTCATCGACATCCTTACGCCATCTACCGCCCAGAGCCTGAGTCGCAGCCTTCTCAATCATGGCGACTGCTCTCGCTGCTCAATTGGCGCAGGTGGCTGCCAATTCGAAGTCCACTCTCAACGTTAAGGCGCAAAAAGCTGCCCATTCCAAGTCGTTGATATGGGAACCTCGAGTCGCTGCTACTCAGAGCTACCAAACTCTCTATACAACCTGCTTCCAGGGCTTTGAGGAGCTCTGCCAACTCGATGCTCGATTCGCGCCCTTCCAGTCAACCATCTTCAGCGAGGAGAGTCAGAACCAAGATCGTACCCAGCTCTCAGCTTCTGAGAATGAAGAACTGGACCGCCGGGTTGAAGCCTTCCTGCGCCTCGCGGGCAGTCGGCTTAGGCTGATGCCTGCGATCAAGTCTATCGAGTGGCTCATTCGAAGATTTAGGTAAGGCCATGTATTATGCGATTGGTGCGGGAAAGCAAACTAACACTGCGAAGAATTCATGAGGAGAACACACAAGCACTGTTACTCACTTTCCTGCCTTACCATTCTATACCAGCCTTCGCTACCCTCCTTTCGATTCTTCCGAGCAAGATCCCTCACAACTTCCGCTTCCTCGACCCTTACATTCGCTCCGTCACATCGCCTCCCCGACATGTCTTGGTTCGCGAGGCAATTCAGCACCCTTCATTTTTGACTCTCATATCCGAGTACACCCTCGAATCATGTCGGATGCAGTACAACTATCCTGCCTTAGTCTCATTCTGGGCCGGAATCATGACAGAGGCCGTCAGTGGTATCCTAGACAAGACGAGATCAGGCCGAGCTGCAGTTCAGAGCGAGAATGACCAGGCTTTGCTTCATCGACTGGGACCTGTCTTTGCTGAGTCCTTGGTCATGAAGAAAGTCCCTAGTATTCAGATTGCTTCATACATGGCGATCGCAGTGTTTGTCGCCAAGGGCAACCTTGAGGATAACGCTGTCACTGCATTCATGGACCAGACGGTTTATGGCTGGACTAACGACACGGTTCGGCCTGCTCTTGTTTGTCTGGCTATCTTGGCGCAATACCGTTCTGCGAAGCAAATGAGCAGCAAGACCACAAAGGCGCTTATGAAGGTCACAGATATCGGAAAGCTACTTGTAGAGATCGGCCAAGAGCGGCGGGTGGACAAATTAGCAAATGGTCTCTGTCTCGCATTGATAGAAAGACTTACCAAAAAGGGCGACGCTCGAGGTTTGGCGACTATTATCACTATTCTCAGCAGCTCGGTCCTCAAGGACAAACAAATCGCCGTCATCTTCAAGTCTCTTATTTTGACCGCGCACCGACTTAGCGATGATAATGATGAGGATGGCGCACTTCGACGGGAACTCGGTTCAGCACTGATCGCTCTGTCTCAGAGCGCCGGCAAATCTGGCGACACTATCCAGTCGGTTATCGAAGAAGTCAAGTTCGATATTGAGGAGCTTGAGATGAAGCTCGACCTTTCATTCCGCTCTCGACGACTCCCCGACTCGACCAAAGACGATACAGAGATGGGTAATGGCAATAATGAAAAGAATGTACCCCAGGATCTGAGTTCGTTGCTCGAGGAACTTTCCAGCCGGTCCGAATCGCTCTCTCCTTGTCTCGTGCCTCAACCCGGCGAGATCTTTGACGAATTCAGTCATATTTTCTTTTCTGTTGTTTCTAATAGCTCGCAAAATGAGGGCCTGCTTTCCGAATTCGATCTCAACCCCAAGCTTCACCGACAGACCGCTTTCAAGGACTGCACGTACTTCAGTTTCTTCATTCGTATCTGGAGCGGTCCCTACCCAGCCCTAGCTCGTGTTGCAGCTCTGGACATGACCAAGAAAAGGTTAAAAGTTGGTGATGCCGGAAAAGCCGATCTCCAGGCTCTTCTTCCCTACTGTATCTCAGCACTCAGCGATCCTTCGAAGCGTGTCCGTCAAGCCGCGGCCGATCTAATCACTGTCCTCACTGGTCTATACGCTCCTCCAGTTCCTTCTACGGGACTCGACCTCTGGGGTCAACAGAGCCTCTATGGAAAGTCCAAAGAAATAATGTCACTACCATCTGATGTTGTCGCCAAAGTCCTACATCTTCAGATTCTTCCTACCGTTGAGGAGTGTGTCATGGACCCTGAACATATCACCGCCGTCCTTCGTGCCGCAATTGAGCAAGGCAAATACCAGTCCAAGCCGAGCCCTGCATTAGATAAGAAGGACCACTTGTCTCAGCCTGGAAGACTATCCTTCCTTCAGTTTCTGGCCTCACACATTGTCAACACACCATTGTTTCTGGTAAAGAGTAGGTTGCTGAAGACCGTCAACGAAGTCCGAGGCGTCAGCACCACGACAAGAACGCAACTTCTACTCCCTGTTTTGCAATGGTGGGCAAGTCTAAGCGAGGATGAGGCAGCTAAGCTCTGCAGCGCAGAACGTCTAGAAAAGTCAGATATGGACATCTGTTTTGTCGATGTTGTGGTGCCAAACGACGTCGCGGGCTTAGAGTTCTTCCTGGAGTTTCTCAGAGATCCAGACCAAAGAGAAAAGGCTGATCTTATTCGTGCAACTTTCACTCGCATGAAGAAGATGTGGTCTTCCATGAAGCCAAATGTCAAGTCAACGGCCGCCGATCAGTTGCTGGAAATCTCCCAGGAATCAGCAGTCCCAACTGACAGCAAATCAGTTGTTTCTGCAGAGGCGGCTGACTTTTTGAGGAACGTGCGACTCACCACCGATATCCTTCATGATTTCCTTCAGTCGATACAGACTGGAACGAAGATGGTCACCGAGCCTCCACCCAACAAGCGCCGCCGAACTAGCTCTTCTGGAGCTGACCGTGGTCTCATCACTCAGGTTACTCCCGAACTCAGCCAGTCGCTGCGAAAGGTCACATTCGTTCTGCAGCTAGTCGAGAACTCGGACCCCGTTGAGCATCCCGAGCTCCTGGATGGCCTGTTTACTGCCCTATCTGAGCTCCAGCACTTTAGAACAGTGGTCGGATCTGAGCTGGGCTACCTACAGAACCTCATTCTTCGAAGCCTCTTGGCCATGATGCCAGCTTACAAGGCGAATAAGAAGCTCATTATTGACAGCTCTGGTGGGTACGGAGATTTGCTTGTGAACTGCATCCAAAGATCTTCGAGCCCCGTTGTTCAAAATGCTGCCCTTCTCCTGATTGCCAGTCTAGCCACGACCGCTCCGAACTTGGTCCTGCATAGTGTCATGCCCATCTTCACCTTCATGGGTACTTCGGTACTTCGCCAAAGCGACGACTACTCTGCCCATGTTGTGTCTCAGACTATCAAGGAAGTTATACCTCCACTGATCGACTCTTTGCGTCAGGGGCAGAAGAACCCCATCGCTGGTGCTTCTGACATTCTTGTCAGCTTCACAACGGCATACGAGCACATCCCCGCTCATCGACGACAGGGGCTATTTGTTGCCCTCGTCGAGACTCTCGGCCCACAAGACTTCCTCCACGCTCTTATCAGTATGTTGGTTGATCGATACGGTGCTAGTGACGCTCTGCTGCAATTTATTATCGAGTTATTGAATCACTTTAGCATCCCAACACAGCTCGAATCGCTCGTCAAGCAGCTCGATCTTATTGCTGACCTGTTCAAGGCCAAGCCTGGCATCTCTCTCGTCCTCCTTGGTGTCACTGACGAGACTGAAGACAAAAATAAGGATGTCGAAGCCATTGCCTTCCGACAACTATCGGCCTTCCCTAGCTTCTTAGCTAATAAGAAACTCAGAGCGCAGATCGGAGGTTTGATGGAGAAGGATGATATGGAAGCATCGAGGTTGAGGGAGC